ACAAAATATCCTAGTAGTATTTTTAATATAGCGTATTTAAAAATATCTTTATATGTAGGCTATATCTACATATAAAGTTTTTAACAAAATATAACAGACTTCACAAAACTACTAGCACAAAAAATTATAAAATAATGCTAAATCTAATGTAATCAAATCTTGAAAATCTAACCTATGTAACTTAACCTACCTAACCTCTAATAAAAAAAAATTGAGTCTGAGTAGATTTTTTGATAAAACTATCTGATATAATTGCATTTACATTTGATCTAAAAACCAATGGATAATCTAAGCTTAGTTCTATTAAAGTGGTGACAAATACTTAAAACTCAATGGGCAAACGGTCTTTGAATACCCAAGGAACAATAATTAATACTTTATCTAATAATCAATGTGTATATATGCATAATGGAGCAACATTACACCTTACATAACTTGTCATGGAAATTTCTTGCGATAGAGAACAGTATGCAAAAATATCAAATTTGTAACTTTAAGAAAACATAACATTTAAAAAGATAAAATCTCGACAATGATAACAAATCCAATAATATAACAAAACGATAAAGGAGCGAAACGTAAACACATTGAATTCTTGAGTAATTTACTTATGAATTCGTGGGAGTCTTTTGTGGCGGTTTGTATCGATGATTGGCAGTTCTTTGTAGTCGATCGGTAATTTGCCAATAACAGGTTATTTTCCAATACGTTCAACCTACTCATATGATTTTATCGTAGTCAGTTGTTGAGTAGCGGCGGTAGATGGTGTGTATTTGCGATTTGAATACCACGGCTGTTGCTTGCCGTTTTGGCTTGGGTTGGCTGAATTGGTGAGTGACGACGCAGCCGTGTATCGTAGATGCCTGTAAATCATCAAATCCTATTCTCTATGTCTTGAAGAGGATACCATAAGCCAACTCTAAACTACACTTAAACTAACAGAAACGAAGGAAACACTAGCTAACTCTGTCCTTCAGTAAAATGAACTGGGAACTAGGAATTTCTGTAGTACGCCAAGCAAATTAAAATCGGAAACTTTTGCGGGTATTCGATATTCCTATCAAAAACTTATTTCTTTAACAACATATTTATTATTATCAAATATAGCATAATCAGATGAAAAATTATCAAATCAATCTATAAAATATATAAAAATTATAAATCTCGTTTAAATTAAGTTTGTTAAAAAGGTCAGAAACATTTCTTCACGAAACACAAATTAAGTCATACAAGTGTTCATTTAAATGAAATACTTTCGAACTGTAACGACTCATTTCATAATAGATTAACATAGAACACGACGGTTTTTAATAGATTAAAAAAATTCTACAAATTTTAAGATTAAAATTGTATGAATTTGTAATACTTACAATATTTATTATTTGACCATCATCTATGTCTTTCTCGCAGATTTAATATTACTGATTTGAATGCTATTTAGTTATTTCATAGAAACATGAATAATCATGATATATAAAGTAATTTATGAGCATAAACAATATTTATGTCATCAAACCAAACTATCCATAGGTGCATAGATTGCTTTCAATATGCAGTTTTCTTGCGACTGCTCGCTTACTCGTTTTGTTCGACGAAGTGCAACAATACCCCACTTCGATGACGCAACATGGCGTCAATTAAATAATTTGGTCGCAATTAACTTTAAAATGATTATATTTAGTTACTCAACGATAGAAAGTTGTTCCTTTGCATTTCACACAAACCATGGTATATTTGTTAAGTTATTTACGAAAATACCAGGAAATACTTAGGCAACTATGACGCTTAGGACCTCTCGGTATTAATACGGTACTCTTTGCTCATGACCAAGCGACTGAATGAATTGCAGCGCGCTGAGCGCCTGCCCGCTGCCGCAGTTGAACGAATCACAACAACGATGAGCGGCGTCTTCTCTATTACATTACACATAATTCTCTATTTTATTAGTCTTTTAGGAATAAAATAGTTTTGTTTGTTGTATATTAGACCCTTTTAGAATTTTTAAATGTATAAATTTAGTCTTTCGCTTGAGAGTTATATAAAGTGGTAGATTCGAGCGGACTTCTTGAATTGTCATGCATTGTGAGAAGGTTCCTCCTCCTAAGTCTTACTACTGAATTGTATATCAATACTTGTATATACTACTTGTATATCAATGTAAATAAAATTTAAACACGAGCACCTAATAAACATCCCATAATGATAGTAAAATTTAAGTACAAAATAAAATCAGTAACCCAGCGAAATTTATTAATAGTAAAATTTCTTTGTTAACGCAAATGTTTCAGTGGAATAAATAGTTATTTATTCCACATAGCATTACCATTCCAAATAGCATTAGCAGTTCCTAATGTTATTTATTTTTAAAAATATGACGGGACTATGGGGATTTGTTTTAACAAAGCTCAACTTACTATCCCGTGAATAAGTTAATATCTTTTAATTATTCTTATTATATTAAAAACATACACGGCATTCCAGCTCGCAATAGAAATTATAACATTTCTATAAAGTTCAGCTTTGGCTGTAAACCCTGTTTCTGTCGGATATGATTATAAATATACTGAGTATGGCATTTTTATGTATATTATTTTAGTAATATTGGCCAAGCCAGTAAAAGAATCGTAGAAATCGTAGCGTAAAATTTGTTTAATTTTATCCCATCAATCAAAACGAAATAATTTCTTTTTTCATAATTTAAATTTAATTAACCAGGAGAATCATAAAACCATACTTAAATATTTTTCTTTTTTACGCTTAATATACGACAAATACCTTTTGTAATTTTTATATAATGATGTTATATACAAGTACGAAGTATAGGTATGACAATAGCGCAACGAAATTGAGGCAATTAAATTACGCTAATTGGTGTAATTAGATTACAATTTATTATATTGCTCTCTCTTTTCGTATCATACGTTCTATATCGTCTGCCACATTAAATTACATATGTCATATAATATAAAGCGGCTCAAATTTGACTGATTTGGCTAATGCCGACATTTACCATATCAGTCTTGAAATCTTTAGCATTGGTTTTATCTAGAATGAGAGTTAATTTTCTTGGTCATACGGTCGCGGCATTTCATAAGTTTAAGCATAAGTTTTTAAGTAGTTTTATTTTAGGTTATAGGTTACACTATATATAAGGATACTTATATTTATCCTACGAGCGAAGTCTGGCAGCTAGCGTTCATGGGACCAACAATAGTGTCAGTTTTTTTGTTAATTTGTTTATACCGTGAATAACTGTAAAATATTATAACTACCATTTCATCGGCCTAAGTTCAAATGCCTAAAGCTTATGAAGAATGAGATTGCTAATTAACTTACTAGCTTGTTTGTACTAATAGCAATTAAAAAGTGAGAAAAGGAAGAGAGATGATGCATCGGTTCGGATGGTCTTCGGGTCGAAGGCTTTATTGCAATTATCGAGGTCAGGATTGAACTACCTATTACATGAGGTAGGTATATGGGCGGTATAACAAAACATCAAAGTATTATTATACTGGTCCCTTTCTTGTCCGTTGCCAAGGTGACGTCATGTGAGACGTCAGAGATTGATATTGCTTCCATTTACCTCGCCCATGTTTTCATTCTAATCTCTATTCGTTTAATCTCTAACGAATTGATTTGCTAATACGTAATGCTGTTCTAGACAAAGTATTTATCTCATGATCTCTAGAACAGTTTTTTACAATAATTCATATAATCATTTTTATTGAGACAAAAAAGTCTTTATTTGTTCCATCAATTGTATATTTTTACATTGAAATCTTCACATGTGTACTCAAGCCAAAAGAAAGAGACGTCAAATTTAACACTGGCATGCACAGGTTATAGACTGTCAGTATGTAGAACTGGTTTCCTCACTCCGTGCTTCGAGCTTCTGACGCTACACTCGTGTTCGCATCCCCATCTTTGTTTTTGGAGACACAGGCGCGGCACTGTTTTCCTCGTCCAGGCAGGAATTATTTTCTATTGCAAGAAAAAAAAACTGTAATTAACGTATGACAATTTACTATCTTGCTTTACTCACACTTGGCAATTTAGTGATTACAATTGGTACGATACTAAATGGTCAAGCGCACGCTTGGCAATTGTATAATTTATCGTATGAAGACCGTCAACACACTGGCGTAGCTACCAGTTGCATTGTAACCTACAAATGTTATATCAACAGTATACAAACAGTTATACAAATACTTATAAAGATTTCTAACCAAAATATTATTATGTTTCAACTAAATACTTATATAGCCTACGATTTGGGATAATGTTGATTTACACTACCGCAATTTTTCAAATCTCAGATATAACTTGTAATAATGTGTATAATATAATAAAGTGGACATAAGAAATTACAAATGGTACATAGCGCTTTATCTGAATTATTATATAAATAGGTGAACCCAGACGTTGTCCTTCACTGCAGACCTTATGTGGAAGTTCGAACACGCTCAGCGAGCCATAGAGCAGGCTATGCTTGGTATTTCTCTGCGAGATAGAGTTCGTAATGAAGACATCCGCAGTAAAGTTTATATTTTTCAAATTGTAAATTATATAATGTAAATTAATATTTTTCTTTATTTTTTTATAAAACAAAGATAAACGACTTAGCTCACGGGATAAGTAAGTTGAAGTGACGATAAGGCGGCGAAGTAGCTAACTTTATTGTAAGCTTTAGTGCTAAATTGTTCTACTTTATAGTTTAAGAACATATAAAAATCTCTAATCTTTAAAGTTAGGAGTGCAAAGGTGTACTAAGAAGGATTGTAAGAGTAGAAAAAGTTGGTAAAATTAATGTTAATAAATATTTGCATCAAATATTCGGAAGGCAATTTTCAGAACAATAGTAAGTAAATAAAGATATGAAAATTTCATTTTAATAAAATATGTTTGCAAAATAGTTATTTATCAATTATATTTAGCATTGCCGACGGGCAAGACAATCGACGATGACTAAATCCTAATGTATCGGGCTGTCCATGAGTCGCATGATCACACTGGTTGGCGATATATTGTTCGTGGTCACGATCCTCAGCATTGAGGGAAAGAGGAAGAAGAATAAATCCTGGTCAACGGACCAAATTATGATAATGGTCAAAAAAGTACTACACTTATCAGCGCGCCGTTTAGAGACTATAATCGGAATCTCGGAAACTGCTTCAAGCGATTTTCATGAAATTTAGTATGTGCGTAGTTTCGGGGGCGAAAAATCGATCTAGTTAAGTTTAAGAAGATGTCCTTTTATCCCTCTTTTCAGGGAATGAAAAATGTCATTCGAATATGACGGTATAGGGCGGCCCCGAAACAGAAGACTACCAGTTGTACCATTGACTTATTTGTAATATTTCGACAATTTAACAAAATAGGCTCATCATCTTAGATAAGTAAAATTATAAAAAAAACATCTTATCATTAGTAGTAGAATAGGTACTGGGCTATTGATATTAAATAGGTAAATAGTTGATGTTATTCAGAATGAAAGCCGGTCTCGATACGTCCATTTTTCGGGAGTAATTGTGACCACCTCGGAAAAAAAAATCCGGACGTCCGCATAAAAAATTTCTTTTAACATTTTTTTAATAGCAAAATAAAATTTTTATTTACAGGAATATGAGATAGATTGGTTGAACTGTTTTCTTAAAATATATCTACTTATTTATTCATCGATCAAATTATTTTAAGTATTGCCTAATTCTAAATAAAAACCAGGCAACTAGATTACACAACAGGTACATTATTGACTTTATTAAGTTAATGTATTTATTTCGTGGAACAAATCAGGTCAATAGTATCTATTCGTTGAGTCTTACATTTAACGTCGATAAGTTCACTAATGATCCGTATTTTTGCGGTTAATTAATACATTTCGTAGGCCTATCGGCTCATATTCGTATCCGGCGAATTTTGCGAACAACAGGAAAATGATATTATATCGAATGCAAAAAGAAATGTATCATATTTTTTTTATATTTATGCGTAGTCTAAGTTTATTATTGATACAGAATATTTTGTTTAAAAAGCTTTTGAATTTTGAAATATTTCACTGGTTCAGAAGTCAGTTAACCTTAAGTAATTTACGATGTTACAATGTTCGCCTATAATCAATTTGAAGATTTTATTACTTACACTAACAAAAATATGGTTCTTTCCTGTACCGTGTAGCGAGCTATATTGAAAGTCCATGTAACTAAGCATGTCTGTCCGCAACAGGCGTGTATCACAGTGAACTCTTTCGTCTCTTTCAGGCAGCTTATTAAAATCTACAATTGTCTAGCGTGAGAAACGCATACAAAAGTACCGATCTACGATGAAGAGGTTCTCACTCGTACTAATGATGATGCAAATTTTTCGCTTTTGCATTGCGTCGTATGTAATAAGCGTAGCATAAGTCCGCGACCAACTTGACAAAGTAACTGGAAAATAAGCTCTAGTGGAAAGTAGAAAATTGTTCGAAAAAATCTTTATTCTTCTTTACTTTTAGTAATAAAGAATATAGGTTTTACTTGGATTTTTGTTCTTTTATGCATTTATTTATACATAATAGCCATACATAGTTACAGACTTATATACTTCTATTTTTTATTGTTTTTATGTAATATGCAAATAATTAAATGTAAATTGATAGAAATACTGAAATATTTTTCATATAATAAATGAAAGAAAAAATAGACTCAAGCTAATTAAAGATAGCGCAGAGCAAATTTCAACATAAAATTATCAATTAAAACACGTTTTATACATTTAGATTATTGATCGATAATAGTGGACCCATTTAATTAGTAATTGTCAAAGAACGTTTAAAGTTCAAATGTATTCTACATATAAATTCACAGAACATAAGATATACAGCATTTCGTTTCACTTCACTTCCAAAAATTAATAACTCAAAAACAATTAAGTTGAAGTTGACTCCCACCACACTTAAAAGTGAGGATACACAAATTACATGGGTACAGAAAAATAGAACGCAACGAATAAATAATAGATATGATTTGGCTATTACACTTTGATGCGGCTATTTAGACAAACACTTGACAGCGTAGCGCGATGTTAAAACCATTCTTTTGCCCAACGCAGTTCGTTACTTGCAATGGACGTCTGCCTGAGATGAGCTACAGTTAACTACACTATACGAATATTTGAATTGCGAACATGGCAGGTCTATCTCTATGTAGGTACGCCTACCGTTAACGCACCACCTCTAACGTGGCTACTATCGACATTTTACGGTTCGCAACTTTAGCAGACCGTTAAGTATGGACAGATAGACTCCATAATAACTCTTGCTTATAGATATATATTATAGATTAAACCACCTCAACAATATTACAGCAGAGAAACAGACTAATGTACGATTATGCCAACATGTTTGTTTAAGAAATTCATTGAAACGTAGTCGCTATAGCATAATCAATTTATAACATACATATACATATTTATGAACATATATTAAATATTGATTAAGCTGATTCATGAAAATGGTTTCTTTACCTATGAACGTTGCGAAATTTGATAAATTAATGTGTTGCTGAGTCGAAACTGGCGTGCGACGTTGCCACACTTCACACCCCCCCAGCGTTAACAAGTGACAGAGAGGTTGCCGTGCTGTAAACCGCCCGAGAAATATTTGAGTGGCTAGATCAGAGATTTTTTGGTTTGGCAGCGTCCCTTTTTACCTGCCCTCATTGTTATCACCAACACTGTATTGGTATTCTGCTTATACTAATTTACATTGTATTGAAAAAACACAAAGATCTAACAAATATCAAAATTTGTCTAATTGTACATTGTGTTTCGACACCACATAATATTTTATATATATCTATTAATTTGGTATTACTATAACCATAACAATAGCAATAACGAAACTTAGCTTTGTTTTTGACGCAAAAATAAAACTTCCGTCTTACGGTCCCACGTGCGATTCTATTTGATTTAGTTATAATGTCAAGATTTTTGGTATCAATATCAACATCGATTTATTTATTTATCCAACAATTTTAATAATTATTATTCAATAAATTGCATATTGCGTTGCCCGTGTGTAATGTGTCATATAATAGTCTTTCTGTGTGACTTAATTCATTTCTTTTTCTTTTCGTATCACTGTAACAATATTAAGTGACCATTTTTAGAACAACCTGTTATCTTATGAAAACACGTCTCCGTATGGATCATTTATCTAATTTAAAAAAGAACAATAGTGTTTGTAACATCTATTACATAATAAAAGAGGGCAAATGTACATAACTTTAACTTTGGCGTATTTCAATTGAAATAAATTTTAAACGATAGAGAAAAATCACTATTAAATTAATCAACAAATAAAATTCGGCGGTCGGATTTTCACTAAGAAAGTCCCGCCATTTTATTAATTTGACTTCAAAAACTTAATACACAGTTCTGTCAATAGACATAATTTTATTGTCTTTTTTATAGATTATTGTGTGGAACCCTTCGTGCACGATTGCGACTCGCGCTTGGCTGGTTTTTAAATTTATATAATCTAACCATCATTTTACAGACCATAATATAATTATAGTTAACTATAGTTTCATCCAATTCAGCTGTAGAGATTACTTTTTTTTAAGTTGATATAACTTTTTTATTTACGAACTGATTTTAATAAAACTAACACTAAATGTTAGGTGAAGTACTACAATCGATTAGCGAAAGTTGCACTCAAGTCAGTTAAGCCGTTTCTGAGAACGCACAAACGCACATACACACACACACAGACAACAATTTTTACAACCATTGTTTTGGGTTCTATTGCGTTGATAAAGGGGGATCTTTAATAATAATTTTTCTCAAATATCTTCCATGTACAGACAAAGACAAGTTACATTTTTATTGTATGTATAGATATCTGTCTGTATCTATCTGAATTTTTCGCTTTCACCCTATTCCACGCGGACGTAGTCGCGCGCAACAGCTAGTGCTTAATATAATACGCTACGAACAAAGGAAAGCGTTCTATATTTAACGCCAACTGGGTATTTCACCAAATTGTACTTAGTCGACGATTTTATTTGACAATTCTGAAATGCAGACTTTAACTTTAACTTTACTGCTGGTGTGAGGCGAATTGCTCTCAAATTCGATTATATTTTCTTCTAAAAAAGTACTTCATAATATCCATCATATGTATAGCCATAAAAGTGGTAGACTGGGATATCAATAAAAACCGAGTTGATGCATAATAAATAAAGTGCAAGCTTTTTGACTTTTTCTCAATGGTAAAATGGTAGGTATCTATAGTGTTTAGTGTTCGCCATATGTTAATGTCTGACTTGACAAGTTATGTACCTGTGTTAAGACGGAAGTTGGAAACCGATCAGGTGGTTAACCTGATGTTAAATAATTACGTTATGTTAACTAATTAGAGATCTACAACACTTGTTAGGTTTCAGATCCGTGAGCAATATTTTAGGAAACTAACAGATGTTAAGTAATGTTATGATCTTAAGTAATTACACAAATTATAATAGTATAAAGCTTTAATGTATACAACAACCTGCGTTTACCGGTAAGTATTACCTTTATAACATGTCTGAAGAGTAAACGTGAAATTTAACGGAAATTAATTAAAGAAACCTTCTAAAATTTTAAGCTGTTTTGTGAAAACTGAATCAAAAATATTGTTTTTAACGAAGAATATAGACTAGGTACTGTTGAAAGTGTTATTAGCAACTATTTAACTTATTTTTGTAAATAACTGCACTACTAACTGTGTATGTTGTATACATACATAAGCAACAAAAAATATTATTTTAAAGTGATCTTATTTTGTTGGTTAATTTATATATTTAACGTAATAAACCTGAAGAGTTTGTTTGTGTATTTTTTTTTCGAACGCGCTAATCTCTGCAAATCCCAGTCGGATTTTATCTTTTTGCATTTGATAGCTCAATTCTTGAGGAAGGTTAAAGGATATTTACCATTATGCTAGGAACTACGGAGGCGGAGCAGAAAAATTTCTCGCGGATTAAATGACACGTCTGGTGGATATTACTTAGGTACATTAGTTCTATTGACCCAAATTATATTTTTGTGCCCATTGCACCGAAACAGCACTATTTGTCCGGACTGGGTGTCGTAGCACCCGAGAAGAGGAGGCCCAAGAAGCCAACAGTTGCTGCTCCTTCGTGTTCCCGTGTCCCCGGCCCATGCAAGAGACAGGTTTTTTAGTGACTTAGATTCCCATATGTCCCCGCTACTCCCGCGGTCCCATGGCTCCATAAAGGATTCTTTCAACGATTCTTCGATCCAACGGTATTTCTGCCACGTCATAAATAAAAGTATTTCTATATTCTTATCTCGGGTTGGATATGTATTTATTTGACTAGAGGCCATGGGGCCCAAAGCTCCCAGCGACGACTAAATCTGTGGCTCTAAACAGCCTCCTCTCAACTCGCAGCCTCACTTCTATTGCGTCAGCGTTGCGGTCCCGTCGAGTCACGAGATAGGGAGGGCGGCAAAACGTAACACCAACACTCCACTTGCTTTTCGACTCCACCTCAGTTGTAGGGGAAAGGAAAAGTGTTCCTCCTCTACCATCTTCCTCCTTTTCCCCGCACCCTCCTAGGATGCATCCAGAGTGGGCTTAAAGCTAACTCGGAACAACCCTCTCGGACCGGCCTTACGTCACGGGACGGAATATTATGTGTTCCTATTGGCTTCTTGGCGATACGGCAGTCCCGTTGGACCTAATTGTTAACGCGCTTTTTCAATTTTACTATTCGTTATATCGTGTCATACAACAAAAAGTGTCCACATAAATCATTTCTAAATATGTAGTAACGAACATTTTCACGAACAATTTGTTTACATTTTCCACAATATGCATTGCAAATGTAACGGCATCTTTTGCCTTCAAATTAAAAATTAAAACAAACTGATAACTAATTTGATCATTAAACGATTGTTATAGATAATATGAGGCAATTCGAACCATGTTCAAAGGAAATGTGTGAACTACGGCCGCGCTACTAGGCACATTCTAGTATTGATCGCGCCCATTATCCTCCGCTCGGCATCAGTTCTGAGAAAAGTAGGGAGTGGGTGAGGACGCGGGTGGCGCGGCGCGCGCAGCGCCACGCGCCCTGCGCCATGGGCCACCAACCCTCAGTGCACGTGACAACTTCGAAGGCGGCCCGACACTGCCCGGCATTTCCCGTTCTAGTAGACTAAGGCGCAATTCACCAACGATCATCCAATTGTATGTACCCCGCTGGCGATTACTTTATTGTGCGTAATTCTCAAAATGAGTAATTTCTGGGGCCAAGCGAAATCTGTTATATACTGTGTCTATGAATTTATGAAAAGAGAATCGGATGGAAAAGTGCGCATTGAGCTACGCGATTTTATAAGAAGAACCGAAGTGGCAACCGGTATATCAAAGAGTACAATTAAGAGAGTTATTTCTGAGGCAAAATTGCGAAAGCTGAAACAGATTGCAGAGTGCGACATACCTGTTAGTAACGATTTGGAACTATGCTGTACTGGGCCGATCCTTGACGATAGGGAGAAGGGAATATTGAAAAGATGTATCCATAAATTTCATTATACTGATACTTCCTTTCAATCCATACATAACTTGCTCATTAAATTACAGCAACAAATAAATTACCAAGGTTCTGCAGAAAATCTTAAACATGAAATCAAAGAATTAGGATTCCGTCGATACAGAGATACCGGTGATTGCAGAGAATTTTTTTTGGAGTCACACGAAACACGTTTGAAGCGTATTGAATATTTACAAAACCTTAAAAATTATCGCTCGGAAGGCAAGCAAATCATTTTCACCGACGTATTATACATAGGTTTTCCTCAGCCATGTAACACCCCAACCCTCAAACTTAGCACTTCTGGAAACGAACCAATAGCTGCAAGCCGTCGTGTTGTGATTGCTTATGCTGGGTCCGAATCTGGTTTCATCCCGAGTGCATTAATGTTTTTCAAATCATCTGAACAGGGCAACATTATGTTCAAAGCCAAAGATTATGAAAATTGGATACGTTTAAAATTAATTCCCCACATCCCTGAAAATTCTGTTGTGGTTATACGCAGTGCATCCTTCAACAACTTCATAATGAACTCGGCACCAAAATGGAACGTTAAAAAATGCGAAATGGAGGCGTGGCTCCGAGAAAGAGGAATTCCATTCGAATCTTCACTACTCAAGCCACAGCTTTATAAGCTAATTGAACTTCACAAAGACAAGTTCGACCAATATACTATTGATCAAATTTTAAGACAGAACGGACACCCCGTTTTGAGACTTCCTCCTAAACACCAAGACTTAAATCTTATGAAATATGCCTGGAAGCTTGTTAAGAGACACGTAGAAAAGTATAAGAAAAACAGTAGCTTGGAGCACCTCCTACATCTTGTTCGTCAAAAAATAAATGTTATATGCCCTGATGAATTGTCTCTTTACAGTGATTCAGTAAGGAATATAGAAGAAGAGTACAGAATGTCTGAACAAATTATAGACATATTTACCGACAACCTATTTCCCGAAATACTTGTAAATATTGATTCAGATAACGATCTAGAGGAAGACGCAGATTATATATACTCAGACTCAGACCCGTCCGATGAAGATGATGACGATTGGGATTAAATTACCAGCACCGGTGCAATTACGAGTGGAGAAAGAAAGCCTGTCTTTGCAAAGAGTTCCGACAAATATCTACCCGAGCCGAGGCGCAGCCGAAGGTGAGGGTTGATAGTCGGAACAAGTTGCAATGACGGTTCCGCACGTGTACTGAACAACTATTTTTAATACAGTTGCGAAAAAATGAAGCAATTTAATTGAATAATAAAAAAACAATAAAAAAACTTTTTGGAAAATGGCGCCAACGGTGAAAGTCCAATCTTCACCCATTCTGGGTAGGCAAAGGGAACTATGCCCATACAGCTAAGTCTTCAGTAGATTTTTTATTGATATGAAATGAAAATGAAATTTAATGAGATGAATTGAAATGAAACCTAACCTAACTCATTTGATTTAATAATCAAATGATTAAATCTGATATTGAAACAAATTAGTACCTTCTTTATAGAAATATTTTCATGAATCATAAAAACTTCTGTTTTTTTTTTGTAAAAACTTCGTGGTTGGTTTTTCTTTTTAATAGACATTATTTTGACAGTTGGGAAAGAGAATGCACGAGTTCGGAAAACGTAAAGAAAAAGCTCGAGTATGTAATAGCCCACATCCCGAAAGCTATACGTCCCTGCAATACCCCACTTTTTGAGCAACTGTATTGAAACGTACTTATAATCATTTTGTGTCAGTACTTTATAAATGTTTAAAATATGTTTAAGTGTCAAATACTCGGTGTTTAGTATCTAATATTTAAAATTAATACAATTCCTCATAATTGCGTAGTGTTGCGAAATTTGATGTCGATTCTGCCGAATTAATTTAAATAAAATAGTATTTATAACAGATACAATAACCAACATAGGATTGCAAGGTATGCATTTAGAATCAAATTTGATCCTGAATCGGCAATTGATATGGCCATCAAAGGCGGTTTCAATTCCCGATGGCGAAAATAAATAATTTATCTTCGCTTTGCAAAATTTGAATTTTAAGTTTTTAAATCACTCCTTTATAGACCCACGTACGACGACTAAGCGAAAAGTGGATAGTTTTAGTACTTTAAGGGTATTAAGTTACATAAGACCATAAACTGGCATAACTTTAAAATAAAAGTGTCCATTACTTAATTGTTTAAAAGCTGCGTAAATCTTCTAATATTAATTGACTTATTTTATTATGTTAGAATTTGACCTTTTCCCCTCTAATTTTATAGACATTTACGGAGATATTATAGACATTCTTCAATGCTTAATTTTTTATGACACAGCTGAATTATAAGACATTGTCTATGTTTTATAGTTAAAAAAAATTTTTGAATACAATAAAAGTGTACATATATTATTAGACAAATAATCAATATTATTGTTAAACTTTATATAATATTTTGACATATTAAATTTCCTATATCTGCCACGTAATGGGAAGATTTTGAAACTTTTTTTAAATGATTAATATTTAGGAGGATTATAGGTATATTTATGTATGATAAACAATAAAATTATGACAATCCTCTGTTAGGATCTTAGGATCTGTATTTTCAAATTATCAAGTATAAACTTAATATGAGAGTGATTGTATTAATCGATATGACATGTCTCTTTAATATACAACGTGTCGTTACAATCGCGACAATAAATGAACACACGTCTAACCGCTACGTGCCAATAATCATAAAAAAATGTTAACGTTAAAAAAATCCGTAATTAAAAAAATATTTTTCAAACAAACTAATTAAGTAAAAAAGAAACAAATATTAAGTATAATAATAAGTCAAAAGAAATTTGTAACATCCTATACGAATACAACTGACTGATTCATACATTCAGAGACTTTTTCAATTCGTTGACACAGCGTCGCATTACAAGCCTCTCCTTCTAACAGTATGTTTTTTCTCTTTTAATTCCATTCAACCCATTGATAACATCAATTTGATATGCTTTGTGACCTTTACAAATGAACTTTACGTTACATTTTTATACGTAAGGCTGTTCTAAACTTCTTTGTTTAAGAAAATTTAATAACTCGGTAAATATTGAAGTTTAAAGAATCTAAATGTTTAATAAAATTTTAAAAAGTTGTCCTCTATATTTGTGTTCATTTATTGTCGCGATTGTAAAGACACGCTGTATAGCGGGCGTTTCTTATATTCTTAATCTATTTATCTTTAAGATGTATTGACATCAGGGTTTAACCTTTAAGGGACCTGAATCTTTACTTGTATGTCTTAGGTACGAGATATAATAAATAATTAATAAAAATGTTCTTTTACTACTACTCCACAATTCAATTTCGTCTAAAAATAATCAATAGGTGGCCTGGCCTAACCATACCTTCGGTATCAGATTCTTAATAGAAAGTTTTAATCAGTAACACGTTTTTTAATAATGTCGTTATTTTTAACCAACTACATAGAATACACTATTATGTCTTAATGTTGCTTGAACAATGGTGAATAAAAATTTTAGTGTAAAAAGTCTTTAACTTCATCGTAACAACAGACTTCACGATCTCTCATCTGTAAAAAGTTTGTAACGGAAATATCAATTTTAATCTATTTGTCATAAATAACGGAGGTTTGCCAAAGATTTAGCTTTTTCACAAAAAAACACTTAATAAATAAAAATGAATGTTGGTAAGGGCATAACTGAAGAATGGCTGGGCCAATTCGTTCGTAAAAAAAGAAAAAGTCTGTCCGGGCAGCTAGTGTAAGATAAATACAAGATACTCATGATGACGACTAAAACTTTTTAATTAATATTACAGTTATAGCAAAATATAATTGTTTAATGTATTCTCTATTACAGCAAACGTAAATAAAGTGGAATTTAACATTATTTCCAAAAAACGATTTCTTTTAAAACCGTAAGTCTATTGTAATGAAAATATAAGCTGGTTATTGTGCTGGAAATTCCTTTCAACAAAATAAATATTCTTTCTGCAGAGAATTTATGAAAGCTTAAGTCCGTCTTCAGAAAGCATTGGAAGACAGGGACACAGCAGCTTTTCATAAATCAACATACTTTTCGGTACTTTGCTTCTGACTTGTTCTAATAATAGAGGTCTAATTCCTCGGATGTAAAATGCAATAATTTTATTTTAGTATCGATTTTAGCCGAAGTTTTTTCTTTTTTAGTGTTTATTGTGGTTCAATGTAAAGGTCATAAAAAGTGTGGTGGCTCAATTTTCGGGCGATTACCTTCAAATTTAATAAAACTACAGATCAAAGATGATATTACGCAAAAACGACAGACGTGAGAAATCACCAACTAGGATGGCATGACAGACTAATATCTAATAACTTCTTTCAAGGAAAGACTTTGTCCTACTGGAAATTAGTTTTCTTTCGTGTATTGAACTAGCACTGTATACCTTAGATATTTAAAACGCATAATACGCTTATTTTATCTTATTTGTCGGTAGACTATTTAACGCCCTATTAATAATAATAAACATTATTATTAATTAATCTTATTAAAGATCAATTAAGATGCAAATAAAACGTTTAGTAATAATAAAAGTTAATAATGTATACTTGGATTGGAGAAATATAAGTGTCAGTATGGGAAAATGATAT